CAGTGAAGCAGATGGACTAGCCAAAGAAGGAGCACACAACGTCACAGGTGCATCCTAAAACCTTATCTCTTACGTTTCCTTTCCTTCCCTTAACCATACCCTCCCCCCACCCCCACCTACCCCCCCCCCCCCCCCCCCTCCGTCTCGTTCAAAAAAACAAAGAAAAAAAAAGAAGAAAAATAAGAAAAGAAAAAAAAATAGACAAAGACAATAGAGAGTCAAAAAAAAAATAGAAAATATCATTTTCTAGATTACAATCTCCTACCTATTCTCTATTTCTCTGCTTCACCCCTCTACATATCACTCTCTCTCTTCCTCCTAACTATGTCTCTATCCTTAAACCCTTCTCATCGTCTCCTCCTCCTCATTTCTCCACCACCTCATCAATCTTTTCTAGTCTTAGCCCTTCTCACCTCAGTTAATCATCTCCCTCTTCTTATCCTTCTAAATCTACCTCAAATATTTTACCTCGTAATCCCTCCACAAACGGCTCTCGACTCCTTCCCCCTCCTCCTCTCTCTTACTCTAGCAGCAAGGACAACACGGATGGGAGAACTGCAGACTTCTCACAAGACAACTGCAATTTGTGGACCAAGCTTCGTTATGAAGGCTCGGTCCAATCTTTTTCTCTTTTTCTCTCTCTCTCATTCCCTACCTCTCTTCTCCTCCTTTTCTTAGGTACTTATCTCAATTGTTTTTTTCTCTCCCTGCGGCTCTCCATTTTCAACTATATTTGTCTCAAACCTATCAATCACCTTTCTCGTTCTCTTCAGCCTCTCACCACGGCCCTAGCCCGTCTTCTGCAACGATGACGATAGCTCTCCATTTTCAACTATAGTTTTCTCATTGACGTGAAAACTGTAGCCAAGCCATTATTATATAAACAGGGAAAAAGTTTATATAAGGATGTTACTTTGTAATGTAGAACTACGGATGCCCCTCAAAAATCCATCAAAAAAGGTAGTTTTAATGCCCTTTGATTGATCATCGAGATGTATGATTATAAAAAACAAAAAGATTTTAAATCTCAAAAATAGTGCATGTTACAATATATTATCTACACCGTCCATTTTCAAGATTTTTATATGTTTATAGATCTACTTGATTTTAATTATTTTTTAAATTTAAATTTTTATAATTAGATATAAAAATAGTTTTTGAGATAATCCTAATAACATTTTACATCAAAATTATATACCATGATAAATTTGAAGGGCACGTTACCTCTACACCTACGGAGGTGTTCGTATGCCAACTGAACCCTATAGACAATAGGGTAAAATTAATATAGAAGTATCTTATACTTTGCAAAATACTATGATGTATGATATGTAATTTAATTTTTCTCTTTTTATTTTATTTTTCTAAATTTTGACATTGTTAGTCTATTTTTAGGTGAAAAATATTTTTTTGAATATTTTTGTAATGTCATAACATTGAAATTTATAAAGAAATTTGTTTTTATTTTTGTCGTATGATATGGAAGTGTTTTTAAATATTTTTTTGAATCATATTTGTTATAATATTATAAATAATAATTATACATTGATAATCAAATCTTGTATTTTATTTATTAATTTCTTTACAGGGAAATTATCCCTAATATACCTATATTTTACTACAATTGAAAAATAATAATAATAATAATTTTTCAAAACTTGGCCTACTACACCTTTTTTGACATTTTTCGACTTCTTTCGGACCAAAGAAACCTTCACGGTAGTCTTTTTACCGTAATAGTTACTAAGCTTTACGGTAATTGAAAAACTGTAATAAGTTGAAGGAATATAACGGCAATTAGAACACCGTAATACCGTAATGCTTTGAAATAGTATCACAGTACTTTAATTACCGTCCGAAAGTTTCAAACCGAAGCTCATATCAGGGCTACCTCTCCTCTTGCCCTCTCTGTGAACTTGGAAATTGTTTCTGTAAACTTGGAAGTTGTTAGGCTATGGTGGTGAAGTTGTCGGGAAATCAGCTGTAATTGAGGCTACTGGCGGTGCAGTGGCCGTGGCTTGGTTTTTCCAGCATAAGAAGTAGAGGAGCTCGTACTAGAGCTCGGCTACTATGGCGAGCAAAATACTGTGAAAATCCCTGTTATAGCAGCTGCAAGCGTGCTCATGGAGCACATGGTTTTGAGTTTCTCTCTATAAAAAATCATAAAAAAAAAAAAAGAGATTCTCTCTCTAATCTTATGAAGATGGTTTTGACCGTGTCTTTCATTAATCATCAAAAGCGAGCTTCTCTCTGCTAAAACTTTTTGGTTTCTTTGGGGAGGTGCTTTGAAATACTGTAGAGAGAGAGACTCAAAACAGAGAGAGATTACGGTAATATACAGAAGAAAATATGGTACTTCGAGTACCATAATTTTATGTTAATCTATTAGGTCAATTATATTACTATATAAAATGCCTAAGAATTACGATATATAAATTATCATGTGGACTTTTGTACAAATTACGGTATTTAAATTACCGTAATGCTCTTTACGGTAAAAAAACTACCATAAATGTCATTTTGGTCCAAAAACAGCCGAAAATAGTGAAAAAGGGTGTAGGCGAGGTTTTAAAATTTAAAGGTTTTTTTCCTGATTTTACTAAATTATAGATATATTTATGATAATTACCCTTATTTATATTATAAAGTATATAATATATTATTTTTGTTATAGCAATAAATTAATTTATTTTTATTATTAAAGTATTGTAGTTCATGTATGATTATATACTTCATCCATAATAATTATATATTTCTTCTTTTGTGTGATGTAAATTTAATGGTTAACAGTAATTTATACAAGAAAAGAACATCTCAATATTCGTATATTAATGCAAAAAAATAAAAGTTATTAATGGAGTACCTCTATTTCTTATTGGATTCTTAAAAAATAATATTTATAATGATTTTTAATATTTTTTTAGATCAAATCCGACCAATTTGGCCTATTTCTAATCCGAAATGCCGATTTACTTATCCATATAGATTTTTTAGGTGCCCGATCTGAAAGCACCGATCCGTTTTTTAAACCACTTTATGCAACGATTCAAGATAGGTTCGAACGATTCAAGATAGGTTCGAAGACGACCAATTTAGAAGCCAGTTCAACACCTTTTGAAGATTTTGTAATTCTTTCTCTTTTGTTTAAGATTGTTTACTTACCCACTCTTCTTATTACCTTCTATAAGTCTCTCTCCTCCTTTACTTTTCTCCCTCTACTCTCTTTGAATTAGTTTTTGTATTCTGAGCACCCAATTTGTGGGCTAGCGTCTTCACGTTTTTGTGGAACACTTTATTCTATTAATAAAGCCAACCTTCTTCAAAAAAACAGATAGATGAAAAGAATTTAATTCAAATAACAAAACAAATAAATAATACAATTTTAACATGCATTAGATATTGATTGGAACTTAAAATATTATTATTTTTACAATACAATAAATTATACAAAAATCATTCCAAAATAGATAAAGTTGAATTACTGAATTAAAGATGCTTAATTTTTTTTTTTTTTTTTTTTTTTTTTTTTTTTAAAAAAAAAAATTTAGAAGTCGCATGTATTAAGTATCTCACTTTTATCACTTCAATTGTATGATATATCTACATCTCATGCCTATTGATCACAAAACACATGAATTTTAAGTTTATCCCAAGACACTAATGATAAACCCAAGTCATGCTTAACTTTTCTTGGGTTTAACCTCAATCCACATAGATTTAGGACTTCGAAACAATTTGAAACTCTTCACAGAAGGATGGATCCTTATCTAAAGTGGTTTCTGCTATTTAGCAACATGCATGGAATTTGAACACAAGATTGGCCAATTCAATTCTTCAGCACGGTCAGTGGCTCAATCCAGGCAATAAATAGACTGATGTGAATTTTGTAGACGCCGTTAACGATCTTCGAATTGCCCAAAATGTCGACCACGTGTTCCTTAGATTCACTTTTATCAACCCACAAAATTTCAGCTCAATATGAGTTCATTAAGAAGGGTTTCAGGTAACTACAGTCTAGGTGGTTCAACCAGTAGAGGACTGAAGTGAATTCAATTGAATATCTAAAACTATTTGTCTATGTTTCAAATGAAAGTGAGGTCATTAGGGTCTCCTTCCATTGACTGTGGGCTAGTATCTTGTAGCCATATGCAGACTCTGGTTTAAATGAGCAGATGGCCATTGCTATATCTAGTTGAACCCTTTATCGTGCACCAAATCGGATTTGATCCATTGGCTGATGCAAAATATTATTTGGATTCTCCGAATTTTCTCTTGAACTAAATTCATTGGGGCATATTCTCAAGTTGACGCCAGTCTTGAACCGCTATATAGGATACAAAGAACTCAATTTCAAACCATTATTGGGTATTAACCTTAACCAATTTCAACCATTAAGTTCACTAACCATTCTTCCATCGATTTGAGGACTTCATGCCTTTGAAAACGAATGAAATGGCCAAAATTATCTTTTTACCTCATCTCGGCACATAGAACCATATATTAACCTAGATCCTTTTTTTTTTTTAAGTTCTATCCGGTTTCTAAGTGATTCAAGCCTATGAAAGTTAATCTTGCCCCACTTTTCCAACAATCACCCACTGCATCGATGTTGTTTAAAACAGTTGAGATTAAGTAGAATCACAATGCTAAGATATATATCAAGCAAATAATAGATAAAATCATGAAAAAGGAGAGAGAAGAATAAAATAAAATCAAGGAAAAACAAAAAAGAACTTACTTTATAGGGCCCACTAGCCAGGCAGCCTGATATGGGGCTTGGGTTTGACCAATGGATTCTTGGTCAACCTCTTCCAATCTTGAAGAGAAATTATTTGAATTTGAATTTGGACTATTCAATAGGAATCTTTAATTGATTGGATCGTTAGAAATTGACATGATTGAAGGGACTTGAAAGATGTAAAATTCTCAAGGTTAGATCTAGTCTTTCTTGTTGATACTTTTGGATGGATTGGGGTTTTGCAGTTGATTTAGGATTCTAAGGAAGATTCGCCTTTGGAATAGGGTTAGAGTTTCACATATTAGGATTTCCATGGTTTATAAAGGGTCAAAAGTTTTCCAAAATCAACTAGAACATATGGTATTATAAGATCAAGAGCATCATTGGGTGTTTGAACTCATTTCCCACCAAAAAAATAAAGAATTTTACATAAATAGCGGTTAAAAATGTGGAATTACCCCAAAGTCCAAATTTTGGCCCATGTTACTTCAAGGACCTACTTGTTTGAGGTTTTTTTATTTTTTGTTTTATAAACAATTTAAAAATAAAAATTTCGAACCGCCCAAAACATGAAAAAGTTGATATATTTGGGTGGAAGTCAAGCAATCGAACTGCCCAAATATGTGTTTAAATAATTGAAAACTCAAATTTCGTACCATCCAAAAACCAAAAAATTTAACATGTTTGGGTGGCTCAAAAGTCTTAATTTTTAAACAACAAAAACTAAACATTCAAAATTGCCGAAATACATTAGTTTTTTGTGTTGTGGATTGTTCAAAAGACTTCTTAAACTGCCCAAACACATGTTTTAAACACTTCAATAAACACTTCAATATTTAAACTCAAATCTCCCAAATTATCAATTGTATCGTGTTTTGGGTAGCATGAAAGTTACACTTTCAAACTAAAGTTAAACAAGAATAAAAGATTAAGATCCAAAGAACGAAAATATCAAACTAAAGTTAAACAAAAATAAAAGATTAAGATCCAAAAAACAAAAATCTCAATGTAATATGGTTTGATCATGTGGTCATACATTTTTTTCAGTTCCTATAGGATGTACATTTCTCTTTCAGTTTCTCAAAGGACATAAGTAAGTCGATTCAATCACCCAATGTTGTTTTTTATTACAATTGTTGTAAGTAAAATCAATTTGGTCCTTGAGATTCCAAACCCAGTGATAATATATTATAAGTGTGAGGGCTTTAAACATTCAATGTGGAAACTAACCCCACTTAAAAAGGAATAAAAGGTGTGGGTTCAACTACAAGTTTTACAAACCCGACCAGTTATTTTTTCAAGTCAGATAGGATCCAAATACGTTATGTCTAAACCCTCTCCCACTTAAAAAAAACACAAGTGGGCATATACAATTACCCAGTATCCGACCTGCCTCCCAGTTGAAGGAAAAGACCTTGGTTGGGACGTTGAGCATCCGAACTAGGAACAATTTGGGAATAAGAAAAATATGCGTTTTGCAGATTATAAAAAATATGAATCCTTGTCTTAAATATCTATCTTATAAAGGGTTTTTATCTGTAAAATCTCCGTTACATTAGACACGAGATGTACGTGTTGAGAGAGAGAGAGAGAGATCACTTTAGGAGTCTATCTGATAATCTGTGCAAACAAACAGAAACATAAATGATAAGGAAATCAAAAGACAATATAAGGAGTTTTGAATTCGCAAGCAGGGTTTCGCACGCACCCCATGAACTCATAAATATGGTGATCCTTGTCTAAACTCCAAGAAAAAGAGAGAAATGTCTGTCCTAATCCCTCACTTCAACATAGCACAGAGGACCATTCTATAACACCCGCAAACCCCAAATGAAAGAAGAAAGAGAAAATGTCATGTAGCTTACAAGGATTGGACATTCCATTCTTCTGCACACTTTCTAAAAGCAACATAGGATTGAATCTTCCCTATTTGACTGCCGATCCTTTAAACTCATCACCTGAATCACCTGCTTCACCTTGTTGTTGAGCCAGATACCTCTCCCTTCTCTCTTTCTGCTCTAGTACATAGATACACACACGTCTTAGATTGCAACCTGGGTTTTATGGTTGCCTCTAGTTTCTTATTCTATATACACTCAATCGCACAAGGAAAAATGGGACAAGGAATAGTTTGAGGTTGAACTTACCCATTCATCAATCACGAGACCTTCACCGACTTGGCGAGGTGCAGCTGTGTCTTCTTCTGCAGGTGGAGGTTTCTTGCGTGCCTCGGCAGCTGCTTCTGCATCCGCTAACTGATTCTTTAATTTCTCCAATTCCTAGTACACGGCCAAGTTATAAGGAAATCTTATTCAACTCTCTCTCTGTCTCTCTGTGCACACACACACACACAAAAGACGTGCATATACTAGCATGCTTATGCACGAGCAGAGAGTGCGAGAGCCAACTGTTTAAAGTTATAGATCTTATAAATGAAGCATTTGGTAACTTCAGTAAACAACACAGATTGAGGCACATTTTTTAAGCTAAAAATTTGACAGGCCACTTAATAGTATTTTTGGTTTTTGGAGGAGACTTCGGGGGGGGGGAGGACGAGAGAGAGACAGATCATACTCGACAAGGTGCATCTGGATCTAGAAATATGACTTTTAAGATCTGCTCCACTGAGACAGCATCTCGTTGCTCATCAAACTGCACAAAATGAACGCTCATCAGCATGTGCTTTTACTCATCTAAACAGACAGTACATGTGCATCCATAATTTTATACAAGACCACATTGCAATGAAAAACACTTTTAAGGAAAAACCAAATCATCATTATAGGAACAAGAACGGGTTTGACAGTTAGAAGTTAGAAATTCAATGCCCAACCAGAAAGAAAACGCATGCACAAATGGTAAACATAAAAGTACAAGGGCAAGTATCTTCTAGAAATTAAGTTCTTTCAGATTTTTGGAAATTAGACCCATGAATGCTGAGAGAGAGAGAGAGACCAGCTCCACGGTGAACTCCATGCCTTCTTTAATCTTCATACTGACAATTTTGAACTTATCCTTGCTCTTCTTATCCTGCTTCTCAGATTCTTCTGGAGGCTCAACAAATTTGAAAACTACAAAAATATTTACCAGTGAATCATTAAATTATCATATTATACTTTAACTGCGCATTTCACCCACCCAAAAAATGATTGCCTCTTCTAATGTAATCAACGAATAAAAAAAAAAAATAATTGAAGTCATAACTTTGTAACAGCAATAATCCTCTTGGAAATTAAATGGAGCCATTTAATTGCAGGAAGGATCTGAAACTTTCCTTCAAAAGTAACCCAAGTAGAGTCCACCTCAAAAATTCCACTAGAAGAGGTTGTTTTGATGCCCAAATATCCTCAAATTGATCATCTTGACATCAAGATGCATAGACATGAAAAAAAAATGGATTTCAAGTTTTGGAAATAGTACATCTTCTAACGCATTTTTGGACCGTCAATTTCAAGATTTTCAAGTACTCATAGATCTGCTCAATCTACAGTGTTTTTGAAGCTTTAAATATTATAATTAACGATGAAAATATATTTTAAGGCTATCACAAAGATTTCTAGTATTGAAACCACATTTCTCAACACTATTTGAAGGATCACCTACTTTGATTGTTTAGAGCCTCAGTCTATACAAACCGCACCCACACACACACACACACACACATATATATATATATAGGAAGATGTTAGGGTGAGCCCACTAACCCACAAAAAAAAATGAGCCCAACGACCCAAATTGAATCTGGGTGGATCTGACGATCACCGATGTCCGGTAGTGTTTGAATTTTATTTTTTTTTCTACAAATCCAAATCACTTGAAATTTGGAGCATGTGTACATAAAAAATAGATGAATATTCGAAAAATATCAAAAAAATATTTTACATGAAATAAATTGACCAAAATACCCCTGAAAAGTTTCAGGGGTATTTTGGTCAATTTGTTTTCTCAAATTATTTTTTTATATTTTTATTAGGTGCCGCTTGATGAGAAGAACACACGCTTAAAATTTCAAGTGATTTGTATTTGTAAAAAAAATATAAATTCAAATACTACTAGACATCTGTGAATATTCAGATCGGCCTAGATTCAATCTGGGCTGTTGGGCTCATTTTTTCTTGTGAGCTATTGGGCTCACCCAAGCTTTTTCCTATATATATATATATATATATATATATACACATTTTGTTTTTTTTTTTATGCAGGAAGGCATATACTTCTATCTTCTAACTTGCTAACCTACATGCCCTTTTTTTCTATATCAAGCAAAGGCATGACCTTATCCACATCTTACAGTGTCTTATATTCCAAAGAACTTAACAGCTTTTGTTCAACTATGAGGGTATGTGCACACCAGACATGCATCTTTGCATGTGTAAGCATATTAGGCATGTTCGTGCTCCACGGCGATTACACACAATTGCAGATAACTGCCATACCAGACTTTCTATGCAGCAATGGTCCATTGCACATATTTTTCTGGAGGCAAATATGGTTGCTGAAGCACTAGCTAAGAGTGCATCTGTTGGCCCTAGTGCTACTGTGTGCAGCCGTAGACCACCAGATTTTCTTTCTCCTCATTTTACTACTTGATCTGGTGCAAATGCCCTATTACAAGGTTGTACGTTAATCGTTCTTCTTTTTACATCTTTTAATGAAAAATCAGGTAGGGGGCCTTCTCCCCCACTGACTAACCCAAAAAAAAAAGGCATATCAGGCATGCATCATTGAAAGGATTTCTATTGCTCCAAGAAAGTGTCACCTCAAGCCATAATGGTTTGCCATGATGCCATAAATTTATTTGAACTATGGCTATGAATTCCCTCATGCATGTGTGTGTGTGTGTGTGTGAGAGAGAGAGAGAGAGCATACCAGTGGCTATTATGGATTCCCTTGGAGTAAGCATGGCACTAGGGGGCCTCATGTAGCAGCTCTTCGGAGCAGTAGTCTGAAACTGCAATTTTAAAATCCTACATTCAAGCTCCACACTTTTCAACTCAAATAGAACTTTTTTTTTAAGGATATCTGGGATTCATTGATAATAGTCATTAACAGCTTATATATATCATGTTCACGTAAAGACCGTAAAGTCAATAGAAACCAGAACTGAGAACAGGATAACAAAAAATGAAATAGCACAATGAAAATTCCATGAGACAACGTCATTCTACCAGCTCCCTTGGGGAAAGGACACCAGCATCCAAACTTGTCTCAAAATTTAATGAGGATAACAACAAATGCTGAAATACAAATTTCCAGAGCATCCTCCAGAATGTCTGGTGAAGAAGTTATGGAAAAGAGACCACCAAGAAGGTAAGGCTTCCAATGAGAGCTCTGGCCACACCTCTGAAAATTACAGAACCTGAAATGGCTAAAAAAAGACAGCAATAAATGAACAATGATGATGTGGAAGAGGCAGGCCACACAGCCCACACAAATAGGGCTGGGATTACCAAGTGTCTCAATCAAAGTTCCCCCAAGGCGGAGTTCACCATTAATAACTATTCTCCACTGGCAAGCCAATTTTAACGACCAAACTTCCATGAACCCTACCTGACCATAGCCTAGGAAATCACCCAAGACTTGATATGCTCCTTGAGCACATTATACCAACAGCGAGTGCCACTCAAACTTCACTTCTTCGAATTTAACCCACAAAATTGGGTAAAGGGAACAAATTTAAAAGGACTCTCTAGAAAACAAAGGCCCGAAATAACAACCTGCCCCCAACACCAGAGAAACAAATGAAGTCGTGAAGATCTAGGAGTTGCCAAAAAAAAAATTCAAGCAGAAAAAATCCATTTTTTTCTATCCGATGCTGACAGACAATCACAATGTTAGCCATCCAGCTACATCCAATGTGACAAGCAGAAAATCTACATTTAACAAACTTTAATTAGCAATTAATTAGTAAAACCTCAAGGATGACACCAGAGTGCTGCAATCAGTTGCTTGCCAAAATCTTCAAGGACTGCTATCCATTTCAAGGCCAAAACATGAGAACGCACCAATCAGATTGCTCTAAGAGTGGATGTCTAAGAGAAACAAGGCTGATGGCACTAAGCATCATCTTGCAACAGTTAGATAGAAACTCCAGGATAACGGTCTTGTACCAACCCAAAGTCTAATCAGCCTATCAATTCCCATGCTTGGAAAGGACTATCAATAATTCACTAAACATGCAACATATATCTCCAGTCCAATCATCGTCAATCATGTCCTTCCTAAACCTTGGGCACCACACGACCTACCCCTCTGTTACAAGATCTAAAAAACCAAGAGAATTCACCCTAACTTGGACTAATGATCTCCAGTAATCCACCCAATTTACAGCAAAACTCTCATATTTCATTGCCACGCGTGTACTACTCATCTTTGGGCACCATACTGTATTACCATGATACCATCTACTTTTTAGAGTCATAAACCTAGACACCAGAATCAATAATAAAACTCGCCAAACTCAAGAAAAACCTGAGCCCCCATACTTGTATGGAACATCAACCCCAAATCTAACTCTCTTACAATACCCAAACGTAAACTTCAGCAACCTTCTTAAACTTACAAACTACTAATCAATTCCTCATCAAGTCAAAACATCCAATAAGATGTACCAACTTTCATAATTCCCCATGCTAACTTCAGAATACTTCCAGTGCCCACTCAAACCCCAACGAACGCACATTCTAATCCACAAGTCTCCAGCCCCAGCCTATTAACAAGACTCCTAAGTGGTCATGAGACCTCAAAGCCCCAACTCAAAAACCTCCCCTTGTCTTGCACACTTCTTCCAACTTAATTAATGAAATTTATACCCCTTACTGATTAGCAAGAGTGGCTTTAGTAGATCAGCCTACTGCAGATCCAAATTGCTGGTCCCTAACTCTACCTAGTCCTGCAGACACAAAAAGGAGCGTAGAGTTACCCACAAAGCAAGAATTCAACCCTATTACCTCTAGGATGTCAGCCACCTCCATCGATACATGTTACTCAACTCCAAAGCTAATAATCAAATTACTGTGAAGGTTAATGCTCTACCCGAGCAAAACTCCAAAAGTATCTCGACCCCATCAAGAAGACATTATCTTACGTATTTTGGCATTCATAGAATTCCACGGTACCATACACCTATACCTCAGATATGAGAGGAGAAGCCCTTCAGCATTCCCATCATGTAGCAGCTTCATCGGAGTATTTCTTTGAATGGTTCACCAACATTGTCACTAAAACTTTCACAATAACAGGGAACATAAGCATGGGGAAGGGATATAATAGTAAAGGATCTCAAGGACAGGTCGCTACGGTACACTAAGGAATGTTAAAAAAAAATGCAACATCCATTGACCCATTATCTCATCGTCTCCATTTAGACCTAAAATCCGTCCTAGTAGTCAAATCATTGTTAAGGGAACCATAGGTCGAGGGTGTCGTTCCCGCTCCGGAACCTCGATCCCACGGTTCCTCCTAGGCATCTCGAATTTTCATCTTTGGGACCTCGCTCCCAAAATCTTGGGATCTCACTCCCGAAATTTTAGAATCTCGCTCCCAAAGTTTTGGTACCTTGTTCCAAAAAATTTGGTATCCCGCTCCTAAATTACGGAGATCACGTTCCAACTATTAGCGGATTCCAGTACTATTGTGAAATAGATCCCTGCTCCCATCAACTATGATCCAAGGTTTTGATAATGTATAATCTTGAAAATCAAATATGTGGAATCTATATTAAAAAAACCGACGAATCCAATTCTATATAAAAATAGATCTCTAAATCCATCAACCATGGTCCAAGGTTTTGATACATTAATTAAAAATCATAAGTTTTATGATGTTAAAAATTTAAAATCTAAACTATTATTCTTAATTTGTATAAAACAATCCATTATTCATAATTTGTTTATATTGACCCATTATTTTATTGGATTCTTAATTTACTCTTAATTTGTATAAAATCCAGTGATTGCATTCCATTATTCTTAATTTGTCTATATTGACCCATTATTTTATTAAATTCTTGATTTAAACTAGCCATAATGTAGAGTAGAGTGACCCGGACGTACAGGCCTTGGTAATAAAGCACTCTGACGAACCTCATCATCTGCATCAAAGCAGTCGCTTAACGCTTCTAATACCCTAACATCATCCTCGAGATGGTCATCATCAAGGTGATATTCCCAACCTTTGTACTTCTTTGCATAGTCTGATCGCAATCTACTTAACAACCTATCATTGTAGTGGACATAAACCAATGACTCGGAGCATTGAGCATTTAATTTGTTCCGCTTAACACTGTAGATGTATGCTTGTGTGCAAGCCCATTTATTGGGCGTGTTCCCGAGGCAAGCATCTCAGAGAATTGGTAAGTGTTCTAAAGTGTCAAAGGAAGAAAGGGAGACTTTGAAGCAAGAAGAGGAGGAGGCAGTTAGGTTGTATGGGAAGGCAAAAAAGCAAAAAACTGCATTCTCTCCTGATACCTCCTTATTCCTCACGAAATCATGATCCACGAAAAAGGGCAAAAATTCTCATATGTTTAATGCACATGAGAGACAAGAAGTTGATGCTACAGTAGCACGCTTTTTCTATGCTCATGGCATTCCATTCAACGTCGCCAATGACCCTAGATTTCATGAAATGGTATATGCTATAAATAATGGGCCAAAAGGCTATATGCTTCCTAAATATGATAAGATTAGGACATCTTTGTTGGATAAGGAGAGGAGCATAATTGAGAGGGCACTGGCTCCCTTACGGAACAATTGGACGACTTATGGAGTTTGAAGTTGTATCAGATGGATGGAGCAATGTAAAAAATGAGCCTTTGATTAATGTTTTAGCTGTTTCTGAGAAGAAGGCAATGTCCCTCAATGGACATGATTGCTCTTCCATTGAGAAGACTAGTCAAAAGATCGCTGATATTCTTTTGAAGATGATAGACTATATTGGACCCTACAATGTATTTCAAGTGGTTACCGATAATGCTGCAAATTGCAGAGGTGCAAGGACAATTATCGAACGTCGCCATCCCCACATTTTTTGGTCTGGATGCTTAGCACACATTATGAGCCTCCTCATGAAAGACATCGTTAACAAAAATAAGACGAACCCAGCTTTTAGTTTTGTGCAGAGTCACTACCAGAATGCTAAGAAAGTGGTAAAATATATTCGCAATCACACTAAGTGTCTATATATATTTAGGACTTTTTAAAAACTTGAAGTCCTTAAGGTTAAGAAGACCAGATTTGGGTTCCATTACATAATGTTGAGGCGTCTTATGGAAGTGAGGGTTGCTTTGACATCCTTGGTTTTAAGCGAAGAGTGGGAGGGTCTCTGACCGGGTTGTAGGAGATACTGATCATACCGACGTGGGCCATATAATTATGGATGATAATTTTTGGTCAACGAACAAGACATTTTGCGATTTACCAGACCAATATGAAAGATGATGAAGTTCACTGACATTGACTTGGTTGTGATAAGGGATGAATACGAACGCATGGATACAATGTTGTGTGAAATTACAGTGGCCATTTATGATGATCCTATTTTGAACCAAAAAGTGCATAAGTTAGTTGTTGATAGATGGGATCGAACCAATCTTCCATTGCATTCTTTGGCATATGTTTTAAGTCCAAAGTATCACTCTTGGGAATGGTTAACTATGCCAACTCCTGGTGGGGAGAAGAGGCTAAAGCCGCACCACGATAAAGAAGTATCAGTGTCTTATCTGGCTGCACTTGAGAGGTTGTACCTAGACGAGAATGAGAGGGGTAGAATACGATAGCATATCAGTGATTTTGTAAGTAATAAAGGAGTTTTTTCACTCCCAACATCTATTTTTGACAGAGGAACAATGTCAGCTGTTTTGTGGTGGGATCTATATGGTGGTGGGGTTCCTGAATTGTATTCACTAGCTGTTAAGGTGTTTCAGAGTGTCTACTCGTCATGCGCTGAGAGGTG